TAGGCTTTGAGGTAGTGAAGGAACTATACAGAACGGACAAAGATTTCAAAGAGATCTAGGAGTAGTGTTAAGATACGCCTATCAGCCAGCATCACAGGGCAAATGATTATCTGTTCCACCATAATAAGTGGTGTGTTCATCGATGTTCACTCAGAAAATTAATTATTCAAGAGAGGCAGTGGAGGGCTTGCAGGGCACTTTGGCACGAATAAGACTCACACTCGTGAGAGAACACTTTTTTGGCCTAGACTGACGAGAGATGTAGAGCGGCATGTCAGGCAATGCAAAATTTATCATGTGGCCAAAATCAGGGGGCAGAATGCAAAACTATACACTCGATTACCAATACCAGAGGCCCCATAGGTGGATGTTAGCATGGATTTTGTAGTGGGCCTTCAAAGAACACAGAGAAACAAGGATTTTGTGATGGTTGCGGTGGATAGTTTCTTGAAAATGACGCATTTTGTACCCTGTCACCGGATTTTGGATGAACACATGAAGCTGATTTGTACTTCATAGTGGTCGTGAAACTATCAGGATACGCAGGAGGACTATTGCTTCCAACAGAGATGTCTGGTTTTTGAGTCACTTCAAAAGAACCCTATGGGAAAAACTTGGCACTAAGGTTCAATTCAGTTCAACAGCTCACTCATAAATTGATGGTCAGACAGAGGGGGTGAACAAGAGTCTATAGAAGCTTCTGAGGTGCTTTGTGGGCAAAAATATTAAGCAGTAGAATTTGATTATGGCCCAAGCCGAATTTGTTTACAACAAATATGTGAGCTAGACAACGAGGCGTGACTTATTTGAAATCTAGTATGAGTGCAACTCCACTTGACTTGGTACCACTTTTACCAAAATCAGAGATTAGTAAAAATGCTGACAAGATGGTGCAAGAGATTCAAAAATTACATGAAGAGATGGGAAAGGAATTCACTAAACAGAAACGCAAGTACCAAGCCCAGACAAATAAAACTAGGAAATGTGACTTTCCAAAAAGGGGTCTAATGTGGATTCAGTTGAAGAAAGAAAGGTTTTCGGTATGAGCTTTCGGCAAGCTCAAACCCATAGCAGATAGACATTTTAGTATCCTAAAAAAACAAAAAATAATGTCTACAAAATCGACTTACCAAGAGACTATAATATTTCTACTACTTTCAATATAGCGAACATGAATACGTGCTACAAAGAACCAAAAGCTTCGACGAAAGAGGTCGGAGCTATCTCAATCCTGGAAAACCTACGCGGGGCTCATCTAGGCTGAAGTGGTTCAGCTAAGGGGTGCAGCGGCCGACCGACTGCCTGGTCTAGGGTTGCCGCACATATATATATATTAGAAAGCCCAAAGGCGAATATATTAATAAAAGAAAACGTACATATAGTTTGGATGAAAAGACCCAAATTGACACCCTAACCACCAAGCATACAACACACGCATAGAAGTACATGTATACCCAAAAAAAGATTAAAAAGTAGACATAGACAAAAGTACGCCAATAGTCTGCCAACACTCGCAGATTCAGTTAGCATGCAAAAAATCCAATTTAGCCTTGCCTCTGGTTCTAGGACGGGAGTTAGCTAACAAATTATTAAGTTTGTTGTAATTACCCAAAACAACTAATGTATCATTCATCAAGTTTGATAATAGGCATTCATTATTCTTCTTCCTAGATGTATAAACTTGTCATTCATGATCTGAGGATTGACTCATCTGATCAGTAGATTGGTCCAAAGGTGGTCGGACTAGTGTAAGCTGTTGCACATCATGAGCCACATGTGCCTGAGTAACAGTAACAACTTGCTCATCCTGATGAGGCAGTAGAAACACAGTAGAAATATTGTCACATGTTACATCAATGATAAGTTATAGGGCATGTGAAGTCTGAAATGTCTCCCCCGCCTCCACGAAAAGAGATTCCATAGACGGGGAACCTACATTATGAGCATTGTGTGGGGGTTGAATGGTTGACATATTACCTGCGAGGATAATGACAACTTCAGAAGTATCCTTCTGATGATCAATAATGTCAATAACTTGAAGCAGATAAGGAGGAGGGGGAATCACTATCTTTGGCTGAGCAATTTATTTTTTGGTCTGAGATGGGGGTGTAGATTGTGACATTAAGAACTGAAGTTGTCAAACATACGACAATTCAAACAATATAAAAAGAAATGCTCAATCATAACATTTTGTCAATATCCATGGCGTTGTGTGTCTAACCAAATTTTCTCAAAAGCAATTGAAGTGATGTCCCGTTCAACTAGTACCCTGGCTTCAGAGGGAAAGGAAATATTAAAAGTAAGAATGTCCGTTTTTGAGAGGCTTATCATAAGCTAGGGCAATGAAGTACCACACTTTTTGAGTAAAATAATAAAATTTCAGACCAAATAGACAAATCCAGACCGAAATGATTGGTGGTTCCATCTACGGGTTAAAATTCACTGACCATTTCAAAATCTTCATAGTTATGTTGTCAATCCAGATTAATCTTCTAGCAAATAAGTGTGTGTAATCCTCTTCATTACTAAGTTGAATAAGGATGTGCCTTCCATCTAAAAGCCCAATTTTCTATTCCCAACAAGGTACATAAGCTCAAATTCCTTCCGAATAAGCTCCATTTTGGTATGTTCATAAATAAATTTCCCGACCAAATTAAAAAGATAGGAGGAAGTAAGTTGATTACATTCAGTTTCCGTAAAATAGATGGTTGGCTTCTCATTCTTCCTACCAGGTTTCTTGATGTCCTCCGTCAACTCAAACGAAGGAGGGAAGGAGTCCGATTTAGGAGTACCTAAGGCGTGGACACCCCTAAGGGCAGCAACGTACGATCTGTCTGAAACCATCACCAAAGATGGAAGCGCGACGATAAGACAGCAAAGTTACAGTGGACGGAAGAGCAAAAGCCGAAAGGGGGATTAACGGTAACCCCGTCCAAGTCGAGCAGAGGGCGGAAATGCGAACTCTCTGCTTTGAGCCCGAGGAGAGGACGAGCCCACGGAAATGCAAACTCTCTACACCCAGGAAATGTCCTTCAAAACGATGGACTGCGAGAGAAACGAAACAGACCTTCCAAACGTGGACGAAGGACTACGGCGAGCACGAAAACGAAACAGACCTCCAAACGACAGCGACGACGAAGGACTGCGGTGAGAACAAAACAGACCTTTCAAACGGTGACAACGACGCAGGACTGCGACGAGAACAAAACAGACCTTCTGAATGGCGACGACAACGAAGGACAGTGAGGCACACGTAGCAAGACAAACCCAAGGAAGGATCTTGGAGTGTGACGATGCGTTAAGATGCTATAACAGATGCTAGGGTTCGCCATGAGGCAAAACCTTAGCAGAGCCGAGCACGGAAGAAGCCGCCATTCATGATATATGATTATATATATATAGCT